TGATGACTGGCGATTATAGTTGATCTAATATGTAATGGTTTGTGCTTTTTGTTTTTTTACACAGATATTTAAAAAAAAAAAAAAATTCTCACAGAAATGCACATTTTGATTGTGTTTACAGGGGAAATTATCTATAACATCAATCATATTTTCCATTGCATATCATTAAGTTACACTACTTGAAAATAATATTAACTAAAACAAATGTATATATAAAAAAAGTTCAAAATATATAACGCATTGATATCATTAAAATCTAGGTTGGCTGTCCCTAGTCAGGAGCCTGTAATTCAGTGGTTGTCGTTTGTTGCTGTGTAACATACTGGTTTTTGTTCATTATTTTGTACATAAGTTAGTTTTCTTGTTTGAATTGTTTTATATTTGTCATTTTTGGGCCTTTTATAGCTGACTATGTGGTATGGGGTTTGCTCATTGTTGAAGGCAGTACGGTTACATATAGTTGTTAATTTCTGTGTCATTTGGTCTTGTGTGGAGAGTTGTCACATTGGCAATCATACCACATCTTCTTACTTTTATATCTACTATATTGTCAGAATTGTTACATATGGTATATATATAAAAATCCTTCATGCTCAGTACCAGTAACAAAGAGTATAAAAATTGATTGACAGCTGCAGAACTGTACCCTTTCTGTGCTAATCAATTAAGTCTCACTTAAATAAAGTACTAAAATATTTTATGAATAATTAGGATTCATTTGTACTGCTAATAATCCTCATATAATCTCCTTATTGGTATTTATATTCCAGTTATATAATAAAATCTATATTATTATTACCTAGGGTATCTTTATAACAGAAATCCATATTTAATCGTGACTTACTGTCTTTCAGTATTTCATTAATTATGTTTCGGATAAAACTGTCAAGATTAAGATTAAGTGAATAGAAAATAATGTCTGACAAACAGGTAATTGTATCTTTAGATGACAGTATTTATCCTGTTCGAGGACATTGTTTATATACTCTACAACTATCATTCTTTTATAATTCAATTATCAATTCACCTTTTGAAATGAGAAAGAAATACATTAGCAGAATAGAGAATGGAAACGGGGAATGTGTCGAGGAGACAACAACCTGACCAAAGACCATTAGTGTTGAAGTAACTATTTGTAGAACTTTAATTACTGATTTTTAGTGTCCAAAAGTGACAGCTTAAGGATGTTCGCTACTCTTGTTTTTGATATTTTGTGGGATTATTCTAGAGGGCTAGGGAAACTGTAAATAGCAACAACAAAAATGCAAAATAAGATCTACAAGTAAATTAACATGGCCTAAAGTGTCAGTTGACTCCTTATAGCAAATTTTATACATTTTTGAGGCAAACTGCAAAAATTTCCACCAAAATAAAAGATCTACTTAATACAAATAAGTCAATTTGATTGAAATGTTCAAACAAATCCTTACAGGGTTCCCCAAATTAGTTTTCAACCCATTTTTTATACGACCGCAAAAATTGAAAATTTTTTGGTCGTATATTGGTATGACGTTGGCGTCGTCGTCGTCGTCGTCGTCGTCGTCGTCTGGCGTCGTCCGAAGACACATTGGTTTTCGCACTCTAACTTTAGTTTAAGTGAATGGATCTCCATGAAATTTTACCATAAGGTTCAATACCACGAAAGGAAGGTGGGGATTGATTTTGGGGGTTATAGTACCAACAGTTAAGGAATTAGGGGCCAAAAAGGGGCCAAAAATAAGCATTTTTGTAACTTCCAGACATAACTTGTGTGTTAGTGTATGGATCTCTCTGACATTGTACCACAAGGTTCCATATCACAAAGGGAATGCTGGGATTGATTTTGGGGGTAATTGCCTCAAAATTTTAGGAATTAGGGGCCAAAAAAGGGGCAAAAACAAGCATTTTTCTAGTTTCATGACAATAACTTGTGTGTAAGTGTTTGGATATTTCTGAAATTGTACTACAAGGTTCCATATCACAAAGGGAAAGCTGGAATTGAGTTTGGGGGTGATTGCCCGAAACGTTTAGGAATTGGGGGCCAAAAAGGGGCCAAAAATAAGCATTTTTCTAGTTTCCAGACAATAACTTGTGTTCAAGTGTATGGATCTCTCTGAAATTGTACTGCAAGGTACCATACCACAAAGGGAAGGCTGGGATTGAGTTTGGGGGTGATGAATCATAAGGGGGTTCAAAAAATTTGGGGGGGGGGATTTTTTTTTTTCTTTTTTTTTCTTTTTTTCCTTTTTTGTTTCTTTTAAAATTTTCCATTGTAAGTTGGTTATTTCTGATTAATATTTAAAAGCAAATAATAATGATATGGTAGGAGATACACACCAAACAGGATGTGTAAATTATTATATAATAAGTATTGTGCAATAGCAAGAAATTTTCAATTGCACAGTATTGCACAATTGCAAGAAATCTTCAATTGCACAGTATTGCGCAATAGCAAGAAATCTTCAATTGCACAGTATTGCGCAATAGCAAGAAATATCCAATAGCACATTATTGCGCAATAGCAAGAAATTGTCAATTGTACAGTATTGCACAATAGCAAGAAATATTCAATTGCACAGTATTGTGCAAAAGAAGATACTTCGTATAAATTGCTTATTTCTTGATCAATTTCAATGGGGTTTTATTCTTGAATTCTTGGGGTTCTTTAATATGCTGAATCTAACCGTGTATTAAGTTTTTGGATTTTGGGCCCCGTTTTTAAATTGGTCCACATTGAGGTCCAAAGGGTCCAAAATTTAACTTTGTTTGATTTCATCAAAAATTGAATTATTGGGGTTCTTTGATATGCCGAATCTAACCGTGTATTTAGATTCTTAATTTTTGGTTCCGTTTTCAAATTGGTCTACATTAAGGTCAAAAGGGTCCAAAATTAAACTTAGTTTGATTTTAACAAAAATTGAATTTTTAGGGTACTTTGATATGCTGAATCTAAACATGTATTTAGATTTTTGATTATGGGCCCAGTTTTCAAGTTGGTCCAAATCGGGGTCCAAAATTAAACTTTGTTTGATTTCAACAAAAATTGAATATATGGGGTTCTTTGATATGCTGAATCTAACCATGTATTTAGATTTTTGATTTTTGGGCCCCGTTATCAACTTTGTCCACATTGAGGTCAAAAGGGTCCAAAATTAAACTTTGTTTGATTTCATCGAAATTTGAATTCTTGGGGTTCTTTGATATGCTGAATCTAACCATGTATTTAGATTTTTTATTTGTGGACCTGCTATCAAATTGGTTCATATTGAGGTCAAAAGGGTCCAAAATTAAACTTTGTTTGATTTCATCAAAAATTGAATTATTGGGGTTCTTTGATATTCCAAATCTAACCGTGTATTTAGATTTTTAATTTTGCGTCCCGTTTTTAAATTGGTCTACATTAAGGTCCAAAGGGTCCAAAATTAAACTTTGTTTGATTTTAACAAAAATTGAATTCTTGGGGTTCTTTGATATGCTGAATCTAAACATGTGTTTAGATTTTTGATTATGGGCCCAGTTTTCAAGTTGGTCCAAGTTGGGGTCCAAAATTAAACTTTGTTTGATTTCAACAAAAATTGAATATATGGGGTTCTTTGATATGCTGAATCTAAACATGTATTTAGATTTTAGATTTTTGGCCCAGTTTTCAAGTTGGTCCAAATTGGGGTCCAAAATTAAACTTTGTTTGATTTCAACAAAAATTGAATATATGGGGTTCTTTGATATGCTGAATCTTACCATGTATTTAGATTTTTTATTTTGTGGGCCTGCTATCAAATTGGTTCATATTGAGGTCAAAAGGGTCCAAAATTAAACTTTGTTTGATTTCATCAAAAATTGAATTATTGGGGTTCTTTGATATGCCAAATCTAACCGTGTTTTTAGATTTTTAATTTTGGGTCCCGTTTTTTTAAATTGGTCTACATTAAGGTCCAAAGGGTCCAAAATTAAACTTAGTTTGATTTTAACAAAAATTGAATTCTTGGGGTACTTTGATATGCTGAATCTAAACATGTGTTTAGATTTTTGATTATGGGACCAGTTTTCAAGTTTGTCCAAGTTGGGGTCCAAAATTAAACTTTGTTTGATTTCAACAAAAATTGAATATATGGGGTTCTTTGATATGCTGAATCTAACCATGTATTTTGATTTTGGACATTGGACCATAATAGGTAAATTAAAAAAATTGAAGTTCTTAGACCACATTCTTTCTGTGTCAGAAACCTATGCTGTGTCAAATATTTAATCACAATCCAAATTCAGAGCTGTATCAAGCTTGAATGTTGTGTCCATACTTGCCCCAACTGTTCAGGGTTCGACCTCTGCGGTCGTATCAAGCTGCGCCCAGCGAAGCATTTTATTCAATTTTGTTTATTATTTTGAAAACTATAATGGATGGAAAAAACTCTATCAAGCAAAAAAGATCAGCAAGACAAGATTTCAGCCAACACAAGTTCTCAATCTACACAAGTATTCTTGTTGCATTGTATAACCTTGATGCAAAAATTCAATGGTAGTAATTCAGGCACATTGGAGCCTCTAGTTAGTAAAGTTTTTGAAATTGTACAAACATGAAAAAACTGATTGACAATTGCGTTAAAGTACAATCCAGATACTTTTAATTATTAAAACGCAAAATACTTGTATAAACTTTGATAAAAAAAAACATTTTTCAAAATGAATTAAATTTGTTTTCAAGGTCATAGAAAAATTAACACAAAATTCTTTGAATTGTTTAGTTCAATTGGGTTTAGAATTGTGATACACAAATACAATAATGTGTGTGTATTTGTTAACAAATGAAAATTAAGTGTTGATATTTTGTGTATTTTTCAGAAGATAAGCAAATTAATATTGAGAACAAACTACCTTTCTAGAGGAAAACACTTTCATTTTGCTTTGTTCCCATCTAGTTATGTGAAATTGTACTAACGAAAAATGATATTGCCCATGTGCTTGTATGGAATTTAAACATGTCTATTAAGTAGAAGTTATTTCATGAAAGTATTATGCAATTTCAGAAAAGAAGAAATCTTACAACGAAACAACCACAGATTCTCCTGTCGAGAGGAGTGGCGTCAAGCAATATTTAGCAGCCATCCAAGACAGGTTGTGTCAGCTGACTGTACTAAAGTAGAAATGTTTGATTTGAGGGTAAGCTTGGGAAAGAATATTGAATATTTTACCAATGCAAAATTATAAAAAATATTGTTTTAAATTATTAGCATATGAAAAAGATATTGAGTTTTAATTGAACCACTGGCACATTTGGAAAAAAAAAAACAACAATAAAGGTTTAACAATAAAAGATGATGATGATAGATGGCTGTTTAATGTCAAGTGGCAAAATAAATAATAAATGCATATTCAGGACGAGAACAAGTTAATGTAATATGAATATTAACCCTGCTTTGTATTAGACCAACAAGTGGAGCCAGATTTTTAACGTGCTATTTCATAAGGTAACAGCCCGCAGAAAGACATGTCACCCTACCCGGACACATTATTCTGACTCCTAAACAACATGTCTTTGCTCTTACTCCTTAATGCTGTGTGCTTAGCAGAGAAACAGCAAATACCAAATTAAAAGTCTTTGGTTTTACACCCGTTTTTTCTCGAGGCAAACATGCTACCACTAAACAACTGAGGCAGTTTTTAGCAATAAAAAAGAATTGCATTGATTAAATAAAGTTATGTTCCTCTTTCTGCATGTTTACATAAATAAAATAGAAGATACTTACAATACAAATTATAAGTCAGGAGCCTCTGGCCTTTGTTAGTCTTGTATGTTTTTTAATTTTAGTTCATTTATATGTTTTGGAGTTTGGTGTGACGTCCATTTTCATTGAACTAATACACATTTTTGTTTAGGGGCCAGTTGAAGCCCGCCTCCGGGTGCAGAATTTTCTCGCTGTGTTGAAGACCTATTGATGGCCTTCAGCTGTTTTCTGCTCTTTGGTCTGGTTGTTGTCTCTTTGATACTTTACCCATTTCCATTCTCAATTTTACTTCACTACTGTTTTGGCATGCAAAATCATTTATATTATTTACACATCTTTATATGACTTTTAAAGAAAATATATTTTATATGGATTTTAATTACAGTGTTTTATTAGCTCACATGGTCGATGTGCTAATGTGCTAATGTGAGTGATTGAAATCAGTTGGAGTCTGTCATCCATGGACTTTACATTTTACTACAATCTATTATTTCCTTGGAAACTGATGGCCAGTCTGAGCCCAATGTCATTTATAATAAATTCCCCATTTCTTGTGATGTTTCAAAGAATGTGGCCTCCAGAGGCAATTCTTGACTGTGATATGTCAATTTTAGCATTTATTTTCCTCTGATATTACATGGGCTATCTTATCAACCTTTATAAAAAAAATTGTCCTTAGATATTATGGAAAGACTAATTATTTCTTGCTGATAAGATTCCTGTTAGGTAGATATGATGCCTCAAAACTTCTCATTGAATTATTTTGGAAAATCAAATTGTATTTTTAACAACTTGGTCACTCTGTTCAAAATATAAACCAGGAAAAATGTGAGGACTGCCCTTTTTGATGTTTGAATTTGAAGAAGAAATTATGTGTACCAAGAAACTGTAATTAATTTTTAATGGTCAGTTTTCAGAAATCATTTTTCCTTAAAGCCAAATATTTCTCATTTTTGACCCAATCTGGGTCTTTTATCAATCCAGATTTTAAGATGGTGCAGAATTCTAAATGGAATGCATATCATGAAACAATAGATGTGTTTTATGATGCATAAATGACTTGCAAGGGTATAAAGCTTCATATTATTCATCTACTTCCAACTTTTAAAATGCAATTTGCCCTTAAATTTGCTCTTAAATTAAAAAATTAGTTGAATAGCTACAATTTTTATTTTAAATGTACACTTGCATATTGTTCCTTTAAAATATTTATTATTGCTATTATGAGTCAATGGGATAAGGTAAAATATCAAATTTAAGCAGTTGAAAAGAATTATTAAAGTATTTTATCAGTATCTTTTGCTAGTTTAAGTAATTGATTAAAATTTGGTAGAAGCTTATTATATTGATATCTAATGGATTCCCACACTTTTTTCCCAGTACTATTGTTCCATTACTTCCTAGAGCATTTGCCTCACCAACTGTTTTAGCCACTAAATCTATACATACTGAATAACAGTTACAATCACTTCTCATGTATTTTATGTCATTAATTTTGTCTATTTTCTGGCTAGTTTGGTTTGGTCACTTAAAGGTTTGAGTTTTAAGTGGAATCACCACCATTTGAATGCACTTTAATGGTGTTTTCACGTTTTTTAACATTTGATAGTTTTGTATACAGGTAAATAATTTCTTGTTGGAGAAACGTGTTTTTTATCGATAAGGATTGATGAAATTTACCTGTAATTAGAGTAATTGTGAATCCAGCTCAAATTAACTTTTGAATGATCTGACAGATTGATAGTTGAGAGAAAATCCAAATATATTTCATCAAAGAACACTAAATTACAACAACAGTCGTTACAATGAAACAATTATATAATCATATAAAATGACAAACAATATTAGCACTAAGTGACAGACTATTAAATCTTGGAATTATGGACACAAAAATGCGAGCACAATAAAATTTATTATATTATAAATTCTGCAATGTAAAATCCAAGCACAAAAAGTATAATTAATAAAAACGACAAGTTAAGTACTGAAGAAAGGAATGTCCACAGGAAAATTCATAAACTTACAGACACTCTAAAAGTATTATACAACAATTTCTGAAATATAAAATCTGAAAATAAAATGCAACAATTTTAATTCATTAAATGGCAAGTAATATACTGAACAAATATATTGAGACTATAAACAATATGTCAATGAAATACACTTCACACTACTGTCAAATTTCTATGTGGAGAAGGAAGGTGGCTTGGTCAGCATAGTCTTGGACGGTAAATTCACCTTGAGGAAATCATTCCTTCAGTGTTGATAGTGTATTTTTCTGTACAACTTGGATGTGGGTCATTGAGTTCCTCCAACTGATACATGTATCTGGTTGGCTTTTGTGTGGTGTTGAGTTTCCTTAAGAATTTTTATCAGAATGTATATGATTGGGTATGCATGGTTGACGTGCTTCTGTAGTTTGCTGTGCTATCCCTCTTAGTGATTGTTGGTGTGTGGTTCCATTGCTGATGGTTGTTTCCTTCTACCCAGTACTCGTTGGCATAGTAGGTTGTGTCGATTCCAATCGCTTTGGCATCTTCAAATGTAGTAAACTTGTCTGAACACAACTTACTTTTTGGGCCAAAATGATTTATCCCCAGTTTTGATGGCTGTCTTTAAATATTCACAGGAGTTGGTATAATGAGAAAAGATATTGAAAATGATATCAGAAAAATGTCTGACTAGCTAAAAAAATTGACTGGATCACAGCACAGACCATGCTTTGATTAAGTGATAATGATTAGGAGACTCTCAGAATATATTCTTCATTTTGAGCTAATGAGATGGCTATGTAGCCCAAAGGCCTCATTTTTGTCTCGCCTTGACAGTTTCAAAAGTCAGACTTGGGTATGCTGTTTCCAACGACGTCAGCGTCAACAATGTATTGGTTTGTGATTATGTCAGTATATTGGGAACCACTAGAGGAAGGTCAATGATATTTGGTATGCAGTTGAATTAGCATTGGCAAGTCTCATTTCAATGGAGATAATTTGGCTCTGCCCCCTCAGTCATGGTGATTAGGTCTGTTTAAGAGGAACCACTAGTGGTAGGTCAATGATATTGTGTATGCAGTTGTATTAACATTGGCACATCTCATTTCTATGCTGATAATTTGGCCCTGCCCTTTCAGTCATGGTCTATTGATTTTGAAACTTTTGCGTACTTAACATGTATTAGAGTTTGTGATTAGCTCAGTTTAAGGGGAATCACTTGTGGTAGGCCAGTGATACTTGGTATGCAGATGCACAAGCTTTGGCACATCTCATTTCCATGGAGATTATTTAGTCATGGTCTGTTGACTTTGAATGTTTTGCATTATTTATATGTTAAAGTTTGTGATTAGATCAGTTTAAGAGGAACCACTAATGTTAAGTCAATGATAGTATTAGCATTTGCAAGTCTTCTTTTCCATGGAGATCATTTGGCCCCACCCCCTATAAGGGTTCATTGACTTTGAAATTTTTATTTTGTTTACAAGTTTAAGTTTGTGTTTAGGTTATTTTCAAGGTCACCACTTATGATAAGTCAATGGTATTTAGTATGCAGTTTTATAAACATTGGCCTTTCTACTTTTCATGGGGGTTATTTGGTCCTGCACCTTAAGTCATGGTTCATTGTTTTGCATAGTTTTACCATTTGGATTCATTATTTGAATTATACTACACAAAAAGGCGAGACATATCTCTGTGTCAACAGTTTATTAGTGAAATTAAAGAATATTACAGTTGTACTCATTAAACCATAGTACAGAAAAAAAGTTCAGCAATACAGACTCCAATTTTAGTTTTATATGATTTTTTTTATTTATATGCAAAAGGCCTCCTCTATTTCCCACCACTTATCAATAATGACACTGGAAAATTCACCAGCACACATTTTTATTTCAGAAAAAACCAAATGATGGAATGGACTTGTTTGCCTTACCAAGTAGATTCCTACATCCCAATGAGAGAATACGAATAATCAAACAACATTCACCATTTATGTATGTTATAGCTACAGACTACTCGCTGATTCTTGTAGACGAACGTTTTCCGGGGCATCCTGTAAGATATGTCATATTTAGGACAATGGAATTTTCTCACCTGTAAACTTCTGTATCATACCAACGTTATTTCATTATACATGATTTTTACAAAACTTTTAGTATTTAAAAGAGAATTCTAAGTATTCTTTTTTTTTATTAGAATTAAAGATAAAAAGGAAATAAACTTTGTTGCATCGTTGGATGAAAATGATTAAATGGGAGTATGATGAATGAAACTATGAAACTTTATGAAAAAACTTTTAGCATCATAATTTGATTTTCTTGCAATATGGAAGTAATAAATGTTTCATTTGAATCTTTTGACATGGTATGAGTCTCAAATTGATTTTATTTGAATAAATCATTAATGATTTTCATGAATTATCAACATATATATTCAAATTTATCTATTGTCAGAAAACAAGTTTTATGACAATTTTTGTTTTAAATGTAGCTGTACTTATGGTGCAAAGATAATTTTACATTACTGCCCTGTAAAGCAATGAGCTAAACCCGTAAATTATAGTAAACTATAAAGAACCATGTATGACAAAATATGAAGAAATTCAAATGAGAAAACTAGCAGCTTGATATATTTTTATATGAAATTTCTCAATTTTTTCTCAAAAAAAAGCTAGAAATTTGTAAATATCTGTATTGGTTCTTTGTGCTTGAATTAATCTTCAGTGTACTCCTAAAGAATCTACAATTCTTGAAAAAATAATTTACCAATTTTAGAAATTTAATGCATTTTGGGGAATATTTTCAACTCACCAACATAAGGCTATTTATCAATTGTATGAAATTACTGGCTTAATATTTTTCCTCTTTCTAGTTTTTCATGTTGATAGGAAATTAAGAATAATAGATGGGGTGTTTAACCCATGCCAACTATAAGATAATTTTTGTTGACCTGTATATAAAACATATAAAAGTAACTTAATAACACTTTTATGATGTATACTATGCATTAATGCATATGAGACTTTATTTTCATGTCCACAAATCTCTATTTTTTAACATGTTGGCATATGTTGAAGACACAGAAATAGGAAAGGGGTGTGTAAAAAATGTCATGGAAATTATTAAAAAATAATACCATAATTTCAGCTTTTACAGTGGCAACATTTATTAAGAAATCCTCCTCAGTATTTGTCTATTCTGGCTGATATAGGCAAGGAAAAGCAGATCCTCATTTCCATCGCAAGTCAAAGTCCTATGGAAACTTATTGTTATATGTTTCAAGGTGGAGCTCATAAAACACTTCAAGGAATTGGATCACCCTGGCAGTTGAGTAGGATTGAGTAAGTTGACAGTATTTGGCATGTCCTTATGGTTTAGTTAAAGTATTTGAAGGAATAAGAAGTAACTCCTGCTGGAAAGGGGGGAGGAGGCTACTTTACTATATGCTGAGTGGTATGGAATAGGTCACTATTTCAAGGTTTATGATATATAGGGTGAAAAATTTAGATATTTAGATTGAATATAGGATAAGGTTTCTGATTATACCATAAGTGTATGAAACTACCGAATAAGATATTAATATTTATAAAAGATTTGAGTAAAACAACAGTTTTAAATGCATCAGATATTTGTCAAATATATTTAAAACCATGATATACTATAATATAGCTGAAGGGTTATTTGTGGCAAAAAAAATATATGAAAGGGTATGTATTTTTATATATTTAAAAAAAATATGAGAAGGGTGGGGTAATCCGATGTCTCAGCCCTACCACAAAATATTTGAAGTGGCCTCCCCGAGGTTATCTCTACTGGTTTATCATCTTGGTTGGTACCTTCTGCTGTGTTCAGGATTTTGCATATTATCTTGATAACTATAATAGCTAGATAGAAACTAAATATAGCAAAAATGATCTACACAAGATTTACAAAAATGCCTTTATGACTGAAACCATCAAATGACCCCTTAATAGATCTATTATCCTTAAATGACATAAATGACTTATAACAATTATTTACCTATTATCTTGAAAGCTATAATAAACTAGGTAAATGGTAGCCTCCAGGAATGACACCCACCAAGCAGCTGTAGCGACCTAATTTCAAGCTGTTTTTAAATATACAATTCATATGATCTTATCATACTTCAAATAAAAGACCTTAACATAAGTTAAAGTGATTTATTATTATGTTTTATTTTTTCCAGTGATTTCACCAAATTTGATGAGATATGTAAAACAACAGATAAAATTTCAGTGGAGCACAAGTACAAGAGAGATTCTCTGTTAGGATTACAGTGTGTACCATTCAAAGATGGATTTGTAGCTTATCAGGTAAACATACACAAATCACTGTGTCCTGAACTCACAAGAGAAACAAGTGTGTTAGGTGAATATGAGCACTTGACGCATGCTGCAGAAAGTGATTTTTGTTATCTGAAAATGTTAACTGTATTAAGGCAATCTATACATAATTTGGCAATATTTTGTATTTAGATGAAATATTGTATGCTTTTAGAACTTATTGTACTGCATCTGAATATAAATGAAATGATATGTGTAGCATTTATACGTCCAGAGATACAATCAATTAAAAAATTGTCTAAAAGTGCTATAAATGTAAAGAACAAATGTAAAATCCTCATAAATGTATATATAATTTCACATTAAATTGTTATTTCTAGAAAATCTGTCCTAAAAATTGGTTTCTTACATAAAAATCCTAAATACCATCCAATTACTTATACTTAACCTTGAGATGAAATGAAAGCTTACGATAATTAATTATGAAATTACATGTTCTTGTAGTTTAATCAACATAGGAAGCTTATTGAACTTATTAAGATTGTCAGAAAACAGGAATTAATTTCTGATACCTTTGTTATTGATACTGATTAATTTTACCAAGATTATATGATGTTAATTAGGAATACCAAATCAATACTTTATATAATCATCACTGATACTAAGAAGTTCATGTATACTATAATTTTAGCAATGATCATCAAAAGAAGGTACTGTAAAAATTAAGAAATTATTGCGAGGTTTTTATTAATGCCAATAAAGTGACTGGTTGCGTATCGCAATAATAAGAACTCGCATTCTGATGTCTGATACATATATCTGTATCAAGACTTTCCAGAAATCGCAATAATAAGAACTCGCATTCTGATATCTGATACATATATCTGTATCAAGACTTTCCAGAAATCGCAATAATAAGAACTCGCATTCTGATATCTGATACATATATCTGTATCAAGACTTTCCAGAAATCCCAATAATTAATCTCGCATTGTTGTCCATTCTTTAAAAATCGCAATAATAAATGCATGCATTAACTTCTGAATTTAAAGTATTTGCATAACCTAAGTTAGGTGCCTCATTCAGGCCTGAACATGACAACATGTAAAACCATTCAAACGAAAAAAAACCAACAGCATGGCAAAACAATAAACATAAAAACGAATTTGACTGACAGTAACCAACAACATCCACTGAATTGCAGGTTTCTGACTTGGGACAGGCACATATAGAATGTTGTGGAGTTAAACATGTTTGTGAATGCTCAACCCTCCCCTTATATGGGACAGTGGTGTTACAGCATTTCTGTTTATTTCTAATCATATTTTGTACCTGTATGTTTTTTTATTAATTTACTTACATTGAAGTGTATTTATCTGCAACAGGTTCATGTTTTTGCAATTAAGTCATACAAGAGAAATTATTTATTGAGCAATAATTCATGATTCAACAATTTTGCACCTGTTATTTAAATTTTTGATCTGTCAAATGATTTTTAGGGGGGTTTCTTATCATAAGATGGATTTGCCATTTCTGCCATATCAGAAACTCCTTGAAAATGGGTATAGACAGAAAACCACCAAACTTTCACAGATTCATCAAAAGGACATGACATTTTACACCTGCTATTTTAAAATCTGATCTGAGTGATTTCTTGTGGTTTTTTTTAATACCAAAATAAGGACTTTGCCATTTTTGCTTAAATTGTGTGGAGACAGAAGGTGACACTTTTGAAGACTCAACCATTTTATTATTTACTACTTCTATATAAATTGGGGCACTCCAGCTTCCTCCACCAATAAAAACTGACCGCCATGAAATAGCACAATAGTGCTGAAAGTGGCGTTAAACAACAATCAAATAATCAATCAATCAATGTATGTAAATTTACACAGTGGTTCTCTGATCTATTTAAGTCAATAAAGTGGCCTCTTCTTAGATACTGTGGATTCATTATTAGTTTTAGAATGCTAATTTTTCGTTGATTTCATGGGTAAAGGTGCAACATGAATTTAAATGTTCAACAAAATATAAATTTTCTTTGGGCTTGTATTCAGACATTGGCAAAACAATGAAATCAAATATAAACAAAATTACATAAATTTTTTCTCAGTACATGAATACATGAAAATAGGTACCCTATGAAAATAAATGAATCCACAGTCAACAATTATTACTATTATACTCGTCACTTGCAGAGACTTATGTTAGTATATTTCAGTGTTTTAGCTTTTTAGCTCATCTATTCCAGTGTTAGCTTTTTTAAAACTTTGTCTACATAGTTGTATGTAAATAATTCATATTTTCATCTTCCCCTGTAAAATTATTGGACCTAAACAAATTTAGTTGAGCAGGAAAATATCTATTTGGTCTTTATTAATATAGAAATTCCGTGTTTTTTTCCGATTAAGCATTCACTTTTTATTTGGACTCTGGTTGAAAGTTGTCTTATAGGCAATCACAGCACAACTCCTTATTTTTACATGACCACAAAAAATTTTTGCGGTCGTATATTGGTATCACGTCGTTGGCATCAGCGTCGTCCGAAGACATTTGGTTTTCGGACAATGACTTTAGTTTGTATGGATCTCTATGAAGTTTAAGCAAAAGGTTCAATACCACAAAAGGAAGGTTGGGATTGTTTTTGGGGGTGATGGTCCCAACCGTTTAGGAATTAGGGGCCAAAACAAGCATTTTTCTAGTTTCAGGACAATAACTTGTGTATAAGTATTTTGATTGCTCTGAAAGCTAAAAAAATAAAAAAATTTTGGGGGGGGAATTTTTTTTCGTAAAAGAAAATTCTCTTCAAATATTATTTTTTTTGGAAGGGGGGGGGGGGGAATTTTTTTGGGGGGGTCAATTTTTTTCCCCTGAAGATTTAAGAAATTGTAAATTTTCCAAAGAAAAAAATTGGGGTCACAATTTATTTTGCTAATTCTTTGTATATAGCCTGAAATCAGATTTACTAAGTATTGCGCAACAGCACAGTGTATTGCACAACAGCAAAAAATCTTCAATTGAATATAAATTCAAATCATACAACCAATATCAAGTTCTTTGACTACATTTATTCTGTGTCAGAAACCTATAATGTGTCAAATGTTTAATTACAATCTAAATTCAGACCTGTATCAAGCTTGAATATTGTGTCCATTTTTGCCCCAACTGTTTAGGGTTGGACCTCAGCGGTCGTATCCAGCTGCCCCTGGCGAAGCAGTTTATTATATGGCTGCCAGAGAGAATTTTTAAGATATCTTCTCCTCTAAAACTGCAAAGCTAAATCATTTAAAACTTTTCCCCATAAAAACCTTGTGGACATAACAATTTCATCCTCTCTTTAAAGGAATTGGCCAAGTTTCCAGACTAGAAAAAGTAATGCATGGAATATACAAAACTGCTATTTTCAAAATGTAGTGTTTATGTACATTAGACAAAAATCCTATGAAAGACTATGAAAGAACACTATAGGGGCATTATGTATATATATAAAAAGATTAGTAATTTTATAGCATGTCAATGCTATGAAAGTCCAGTAAATTTATGAATTCTAAGAAATTCAAATGGCTGCCTCCATGGAATATTTTTTACAGTTAAATAGGATACTATAGTAAATTTTTAACAGAATTTCATTGACCATGAAATAGAGGGTCAATGAATTGGGTTGCGTTTTTGCCTATGATTGTCTAATAAAAGTGAAATTACCAATATCTAGATGTAGAAAAAATTTGAGACAGAGGTTGTTTAATAGCATGATGAACTCACTTTTTTACAGTTGGATGTTTATGGTGACATTTACTACCAAGTATTTCAGCCAACCAATCAAAATACTGATAAAACATTTGCTGCAGGACCAGGCATGAATGACCTTGTTCTTGATGAGGTCACAATCAAAAAAGGAAGAAAATGGATAAAGGGAGTGAATAAAGCTTGGGATGAATGGAATGATGATGAGACCAGATTTATACCTTCTTCAGATGTTACTAGTTTTTTTGAGGGTATGATTATCGTGTTACAAGATATTTAACCGGCTTTAGTTTACAAAGATAAAATAAACATAAAAGATGATAATTTTATGCCCCTGCAGAGTGGTGGGGGCATTAAGTTTTACTCTTGTTCGTCTGTACGTCTGTCTGTACGTCCCAAAAATTAATTTCAGTTCTCTAACTTTAGCTTGACTCAACCAAATGTTATGAACTTATACACAATGCTTATTAGGACCAAACACAGATCAAGTTTGAATTTGGGGGCGTCACTTTCATCGTTCTCGAGTTATGTCCATTTGTAAATGGAAACATTGCTAAATCTGCTGTTTGCGTACTTTACCTTTCGTTTGCCTCAACAAAATGTTAAGAAACTTATACACAATAATTATTACCACCAAACACAGATCAAGTTCGAATTTGGGTGTCGTCACTTTCACCATTCTCGAGTTCTGTCCCTTTTATAAATGGAAAAATAGCCAAATTTGCCATTTCCCCACTCTAACTTTAGTTTGCCACAATCAAATTATGAAACTTATACACAATGCTTATTACCACCAAACACAAATTAAGTGGTGTCACTTTCACCAAGTTTTGTCCCTTTGTAAATTGAAATTTATTTTTTTGTATATTTACAGCAGGGGGCATCTGAGTCCCATGGACACATTAATCATTTATGTGTAGTATGATGCCATTGAACTACAGTAACATGCCGTATTAAAGTTCACCAGATGAATTTTCTCTCTATATTCTTTATACTAGGAATTTCTACTGTGTATTCACAACAAAAACAGAAAAATTTTCTGTTCATATACCAAAAATTATTATTATGCAAACAATAGATATTTTATCTATAACATTCATTAAAAAATTATTTAAATATCCAAATATTTTTGAATGCCTTGTGCTCCACATTGTTATTTTTTCCTGCAAATATTATTGATGTATAAGCATTTGTAATTAATTAAAATCTTTGTCAGTAAGGGCTGTTCCAAAAAATGCCATGGAGGGAATCAAGAAAGCAATCAATAGGTGTAGGGCATGCTCATTTGTAAAACATGAAACCATACACCATTTCGTGCTTATGCTAGAATATGTAAAATTAGATGGTGAACGATTTCAGAAATATAATTGTTCAAACCATACATCTTCTGGTTTCTAATTTTAGGAATTAGGGGCCAAAAAAGGGGCAAAAAACAAGCATTTTTCTAGTTTCATGACAATAACTTGTGTGTAAGTGTATGGATCTCTCTGAAATTGTACTACAAGGTTCCATATCTCAAAGGGAAAGTTGGAATTGAGTTTGGGGGTAATTGCCGAAACGTTTAGGAATTGGGGGCCAAAAAGGGGCCAAAAATAACCATTTTTCTAGTTTCCAGACAATAACTTGTGTTCAAGTGTATGGATCTCTCTGAAATTGTACTGCAAGGTACCATACCACAAAGGGAAGGCTGGGATTGATGATGGGGGTAATTGCCTCAATATTTTAGGAATTAGGGGCCAAAAAGGGGCAAAAAACAAGCATTTTTCTAGTTTCAGGACAATAACTTGTGTGTAAGTGTATGGATCTTTCTGAAATTGTACTACAAGGTTCCATATCACAAAGGGAAAGCTGGGTTTGAGTTTGGGGGTAATTGCCCTAAACGTTTAGGAATTTGGAGCCAAAAAGGGGCCAAAAAACACATTTTTCTAGTTTCCAGACAATAACTTGTGTTCAAGTGTATGGATCTCTCTGAAATTGTACTGCAAGGTACCATACCACAAAGGGAAGGCTGGGATTGAGTTTGGGTGTGATGAATCATAAGGGGGTTCAAAAAATTTTGGGGGGGGGATTTTTTTTTTTTTCCTTTTTTTTTCTTTTAAAATTTTCCATTTTAAGTTGGTTATTTCTGATTTATATTTAAAAGCAAATAATAATGATATGGTAGGAGATACACACCAAACAGGATATAATAAGTATTGTGCAATAGCAAGAAATTTTCAATTGTACAGTATTGCACAATAGCAAGAAATCTTCAATTGCACAGTATTGCGCAATAGCAAGAAATCTTCAATTGCACAGTATTGCGCAATAGCAAGAAATATCCAATAGCACAATATTGCACAATAGCAAGAAATTGTCAATTGTACAGTATTGCGCAATAGCAAGAAATATTTAATTGCACAGTATTGTGCAAAAGAAGATACTTCGTATAAATTGCTTATTTCTTGACCAATTTCAATGGGGTTTTATTCTTGAATTCTTGGGGTTCTTTAATATGCTGAATCTAACCATGTATTTAGTTTTTGGATTTTGGGCCCCGTTTTTTTAAATTGGTCCACATTGAGGTCCAAAGGGTCCAAAATTAAACTTTGTTTGATTTCATCAAAAATTGGAATTATTGGGGTTCTTTGATATGCCGAATCTAAACATGTATTTAGATTTTTGATTATGGGCCCAGTTTTCAAGTTGGTCCAAATCGGGGTCCAAAATTAAACTTTGTTTGATTTCAACAAAAATTGAATATATGGGGTTCTTTGATATGCTGAATCTTACCATGTATTTAGATTCTTGATTTTTGGGCCCCGTTATCAACTTTGTCCACATTGAGGTCAAAAGGGTCCAAAATTAAACTTTGTTTGATTTCATCAAAAATTGAATTCTTGGGGTTCTTTGATATGCTGAATCTAACCATGTATTTTGATTTTGGATATTGGACCATAATAGGTGAATGTCCAATTTAAAATTTTTAAGTTCTTAGACCACATTCATTCTGTGTCAGAAACCTATGCTGTGTCAAATATTTAATCTCAATCCAAATGAAAAGCTGTATCAAGCTTGAATGTTGTGTCCATACTTGCCCCAACTGTTCAGGGTTCGACCTCTGCGGTCGTATCAAGCTGCGCCCTGCGGAGCATTTTATTTTTTATCAAATTTACAAAAAAATTATTGGATTTAATTTTAAAATACCAACCCAAAATTGTGCTTGCTAAAACATGGCAGAATGCTGCTTATTGACAATTCTTCATCTTGTGTTCTGATACACCATATTGTTGTTTTATCAGTGTATGGATTCCAAACATTGTTGTTCTATATCTATTGTATTAATTCTTTTGCAAATGTTGTCATGACAAAATTCACACATGAACTCACTGGTAACAACTATCCTAGACATGATTAGAAGTTTTTAATGTTTATACATATATTACAATAAATGTGTCATAAGTTAATTAAAAAAAATTATTATCACAGAATATTGTAGTGGCAAATATATCTTTGAAAATACAAATCAACTGATGTACAAACAGTGTGATCACATTTCTCCAACATTTGATATTTTTTGCATACTAAGAAATATTTACAGGTGGTCAGGGTAAAAAGTTGCTTTCACTGGGTGAGGGGGACAAATTATTTTCTGAAACAGCCCTATGTACCTCAAGATGAAATAATAACTTATTACTCTAATTACTTGTTGATTGTTGACCGAGTGTTTTTTGTATTCAATCAGTAACTTCAAATATTGTACACTTATTTGGCATGATGATTTAATCTTTATAAACAGCCACATACATTAAAATTATGAATTAACAAGTAAAATTTAGCTTTTCTTCCATGAAGTTAAGGGTTTTTTTTTAGTTTTATTTAATCTAATAAGCACTACATTAGGCACATTACTGAAAGATTTATGAGAATTTGAAAAGGTTCATTTCAGCTGAAGAAGAGAAGTTGGTCCTTAGTGCTTCTAATTTTATTTTAGTATTTTGTTTTTTAGAGATAGTCCTGGAGAAACCATCCCACATTATGTGTCAGCTTTGTAATGGAGAAATAAATACTAATGGTCCAGATGATGAAAATATGAATGGCAGCAAACAGTGCAAGGGAGATAATTCTGATGAATTTTGTCATGCTTGTAGACAGTATATAAGGACAGGAAAACTGATCGCTGATAATGCAACAAAAGTAAGCTTGGAATTCAACAAAAGTAGTATTTCAGATCATATATGTTGTATTATCAGTTTTAAAGTATTTTGTTATGAGTTTTGATAAAATTATAATTTTTATTCCTTACTGTCTTTGTGAAACAAAATAAATATTGTTCTAACTGTAAAATCACACATTTTACGTTTTGGGAATTTAAAGAAAATTTGTATTACTTTCAATGTCCTAATTTTTGGCGGGATTGGACAAAGTCCAAAAGTGACTTATAGTAGGATGATGTCAGGCCGATAGTCTGGTAGGCTGACAGGGAAAAGTGGGTACTTAATTTGTGAAATCAACTCTTCCTACAGTTTTCAATCTGCTATTATGAAATAGAACAAGTTTTGTGTAATTCACAGAATGATTGCATTTATAATGAAGTTGTGCACCTGCTATTATGGAATTGTATGAGGAATTTTTACATTTCATATTTCAAATATTTAAATGTTCAGTATAGAATAGAGAATGGAAACGGGGAATGTGTCAAAGAGGCAACAACCAGACCAAAGAACAGAAAACAGCCCAAGGCCACCGTATAGAGCATTTCCCATTGTTTGAGAAAGAGTAGTTATCTCCAATACTGAATATTTTTTTGTGTTTATGTGCTAAATATCCTTTTAAAAAAACTGGCCCCACTTTCTGACCTAAACCAACTTTTTAAATAAGAAATGAATAAGATACATCACAGAAAAAGTCATTTAGGTTGGATAGTACGGCCACTGTTTTTTTTTTATTAAAGTAACACTCTTTGTAGATTCACAAAGTAGATAATACATGGTCAACATGGTTGGTCAGAAGCTTAGTTATTTTTTTAAAGAGGATTTCATCCTTTTTACAGTAGAAAAATTAATATAAAAATCTATTAACTTGTGAACCTAAAATCTCCCGATTTCAGTTTTGTGTCTTCCACACATGCACAGTTAACTGTTTCAGATGAATCCATGTCATCTTAGACCTTTAAATGCCAAAGTGTACCCAATTTTTAGTTCATAAAGGGAGCATATGTTTTTGTCGAGCCTTCGACTTTTGTCGAAAAAGCGAGACATAGCGATCCTACATTCCGTTGGCGTCGTCGGCGGCGGCGTCCACAAATATTCATTCTGTGGTTAAAGTTTTTGAAATTTTAACAACTTTCTTAAACTATCCTGGATTTCTACCAAACTTGGAAAGAAGCTTGTTTATGATCATAAGATAATATTCGAAAGTAAATTTTGTAAAAAAAAAATTCCATTTTTTCCGTATTTTACTTATAAATGGACTTAGTTTTTCTGCCAGTTAACATTACATTCACTCTGTGGTTAAAGTTTTTAACTTTTAACAACTTTCTTAAACTATCCTGGATTTCTACCAAACTTGGACAGAAGCTTGTTTATGATCATAAGATAGTATCCAGAAGTAAATTTTGTAAAAAAAAAATTCCATTTTTCCGTATTTTACTTATAAATGGACTTAGTTTTTCTGCCAGTTAACATTACATTCACTCTGTGGTTAAAGTTTTTAAAATTTTAACAACTTTCTTAAACTATCCTGGATTTGTACCAAACTTGGACAGAAGCTTGTTTATGATTAAAAGCTAGTATCTAGAAGGAAATTTGTTAAAATTTTGTTCCATTTTTTCTATATTTTACTTATACATGGACTTAGTTTTTCTTCCAGTTAACATTACATACAGTCTGCAGTTTAAGTTTTTAAAACATTTATTAGATTCATTAACTATCCTGGATTTTTACCAAACTTGGACAGAAGCTACTTACAATCAAAAGATAGTATAGAGAGGAATATTTTTATTAATTTTTTTCCTCATTTTTGTTGAGCCTGCGATTAACAGCAAAAGTAGGCGAGACACTGGGTTCCGCGGAACCCTTACAAATTTTTTTTTAAATTGTATTTCTAATTACCAAAAAGTATTATGGCAATAATATGGACTTATAGACTTCCTCTTTCACAGGTAATACCTGCCCATATTATCATGTTTAAAGTACATGTACAAATGAATTTAAAATTTATTTTTGATTATAGATACTGGTATATGCTTTTCTTATGAGGCATGGTTTTTGTGTAATATACCTTATGATTAAAGAACTCAAAGTAAAATAACTCTAAAATTTACAATATAAAAGCATACCAAGGAAACAATCATCCACCAATCAAAGGACAAGGATGTAAACAGCTACAGATATCTGCACAGCCTTCAATAATGAGCAAAACCAATAATCTAAAGATTGCAACAAAAGGCCACAGGATGAGAATACAATATGAAAAAATGCAAAAGAGAAATATGACAGCAAGATTTAAGCTGATATCATTAAACATTGTCTTTTTACAGGACAGAGTTTGTAGTATTTCATCAGAAGAGCTGAATTCTCTCCCTAATGTTGCCTCACTCCCTACAGATGTCCTAAGTCAGATGATAACAAGATTATGGAAGGAGGAACATATTGATGACTTACTTCCTCTAAGGGTAATTGATGGCTTTTATTTTTTCAATGGAGGTTAAGAATTCTATATGAGAACAAGAGTACTAAAAGAATAGATATATTAAACCCTGAGAATATTGCAATATCTTATGTACAACTATATTTTTATGCCCCCGACGTAGCAGAGGGGGCATTAAGCCTTACTCTTGACAGTCTATACATCAGTACGTACGTCCCATAGTTGGTTTCTGTTCTCTAACTTTAGTTTGCCTCAACCAAATGTTATGAAACTTATACACAATGCTTATTACCACAAAACACAGATCAAGTTAGAATTTTGGTGACATCACTTTAATCATTCTAGAGTTATGTCCCTTTTCAAATGGAAAAATTGCTGAATTTTTCGTTTCCGTTCTCTAACTTTAGTTTAACTCAACCAAATTTTATGAAACTTATAATACACAATTCTTATTACTACAAAACTCAGATCAAGTACAAATTTTGGTAGTGTCACTTTTATTGTTCTTCAGTTATGTCCCTTTCTAACTTAATATGATATGCAAGCGGAGGGCATCATCTCTGTCCCGTGGACACATTCCTCATTTATTGTTGAGCCTTCGACTTTTGTCGAATAAGCGAGACATAGCGATCCTACATTCCATCGGCGTCGGCGGCGGCGTCCACAAATATTCATTCTGTGGTTAAAGTTTTTGAAATTTTAATAACTTTCTTAAACTATCCTGGATTTCTACCAAACTTGGACAGAAGCTTGTTTATGATCATAAGATAATATCCCAAAGAAAATTTTGTAAAAAAAAAATTCCATTTTTTCCGTATTTTACTTATAAATGGACTTAGTTTTTCTGCCAGGAAACATAAAATCACTCTGTGGTTAAAGTTTTTGAAATTTTAATAACTTTCTTAAACTATCCTGGATTTCTACCAAACTTGGAAAGAAGCTTGTTTATGATCATAAGATAGTATCCAGAAGTAAAAAATTTTGTAAAAAAAAATTCCAATTTTTCTGTTTTTTACTTATAAATGGACTTAGTTTTTCTGCCAGGAAACATTACATTCACTCTGTGGTTAAAGTTTTTGAAATTTTAATAACTTTCTTAAACTATCCTGGATTTCTACCAAACTTGGAAAGAAGCTTGTTTATGATCATAAGATAGTATCCAGAAGTAAATTTTGTAAAAAAAAACCATTTTTTCAGTATATTACTTATAAATGGACTTAGTTTTTCTGCCAGTTAACATTACATTCACTCTGTGGTTAAAGTTTTTAACTTTTAACAACTTTCTTTAACTATCTTGGATTTGTACCAAACTTGGACAGAAGCTTGTTTATGATTAAAAGCTAGTATCTAGAAGGAAATTTTGTTAAAATTTTGTTCCATTTTTTTCTTATTTTACTTATAAATGGACTTAGTTTTTCTCCCAGTTAACATTACATACAGTCTACATTTAAGTTTTTAAAACATTTATTAGATTTATAAACTATCCTGGATTTTTACCAAACTTGGACACAAGCTACTTCCAATCAAAAGATAGTATAGAGAGGAATGTTTTTATTTATTTTTTTCCTCACTTTTGTTGAGCCTGCGATTAACAGCAATAGTAGGCGAGACACTGGGTTCTGCGGAACCCTTACAAATTTTATAATATATTATACACAAGAAAGTATGCAAAATAAGTTTTATGAATTCTACATGAGAACAAGGGTACTAAACGAATAGGTATATTAAACCCCAAATTAAGCTTAACTTTATTATTATTTATTTGTTAATGATAGAGAATATAGCAACATATTTTGCACAAATACATGTATATTATTTTTATCCAAAGGATAGAAAGGATTCTCTGTGTAAACACATCGTAACTGTAAACTAGACCTTTATTTTTGACAGTCTGGAGATCAATAGAATAAGATTGGATATATCAGATTCAAACAATTAACTGAGAACAAGATCATTATTTTGGTTTTTGGTTTTTTTTGGTAGACAATATATACAATAATATGATGGACAATAACAATAATTGCAACAGTAATAATACAACCCTACACATCTTAGGTATTCACTTCCTAGGATCACAGCCTACTGCCCTATTATTACTTTTTTACTGAACTTGTGTTATGGTACACCTATATTCTGATTCATGTAAAATATATTATTCATCAAAGGTGTCAAATAACAATGAACATCTCATTCGGATTGTTATAAATGTGCGTGTATAAACAAATTCATTGACAGAGTATTAATATATTAATGTGGACATTCCTTTAGAGGCAAATTATAATGTTCAACTTATTTGAATATTTAATTCTGTTTGTGTTATGAAGTTTTTTTTTTTCATCAAAATGTTCTTGTGCTTTGAACTGTGACACACTTCGTTTAATTTATGTTCATTTTTCAAGAAGGGACTTTCAAAATATACTCCAGTAAATAATAATTTTGAAATCAATCAAGTTTGACTCATCTGTGTAAAATATGCATTGAAAAAGCATGAATTTTACTTGGGCTGCCAAAATACCTTTCCACACAACAACATTAAACAATACTGTAATTTTTGGGGGTTGATTCGTTGTTTTATGTTCTAGCTGCGTTTAAGGTGGTACATAACACTACAGGGAGATAACTCTGTAAAAATCAGCTGAACGTTTTAATCACGTTCTATTGTTAAGGAAATATTAAGCTTCTCAATGATCAAAATTAGTGTTTGTCAATATGCTATATATCCAATGAAATTTTTCCCAAAAAGTATGTGGTTCAATTCTTTTGAAATTTTTATATTTTTGTCAAAGGGTCAAAGTAAATATTTTGTCAAAATTTTATGAAAAATAAATGAGCCAAATTAATTTTAGTCAAGGTGTTTGGTACCATCTTAATCTGTAAAATTTGTTATATATATTGTAGTGTCAACTGACAAAACTTTGTGGTTTTGATAAACCGTACATCAGGTTATTCTTACATCTAGTTATGTTCACAGTTTGGATCTTCGATATGGTAGTCTACTTCGCTGTGCTCATTATTCTTCTTTATACTTATATATCTGAAAGATTCAACCCCCAAGTTCAAGTTCATTTAAAAAAGATTTAAAAAATTACTTGTTGGAACAATAAGAAGCAGTGTAATATATTATATGAATATTTGCACACACTTCAATTTTGTTGAGGAAATCTGAATTATGTCAATAGATACTGTATGAATTTTACCTGTTTTAAAAAAAAGTATATTCATATTCATGATTTTTTTCTTATTTGTGTGTTCATTTTTGATAATTTTGTATTTCTTTGTTTGTTATATTTCAATGTTTTTCGTGAGAGCCTCAGGGAAGACTAGTTTTATAACTTATTGTGTTACCCTCTTTAAATAAAGAATTATTGTTATGATATATTATTATTATTATTATTATTATTAATATTATTCTTATTCATGTTTCATTGTCTTGTACAATGCATTTAAATGTTCACTGTAAAATGTCTACTGCTAAAAATTAGACCCGATTTCTGGATACTGGTATTAAAATAAATTTCCAGAGAAAAATCTCTTTCTTGAGGGTACATGCCATTTCAGCATAATTATAGGGTTCAACATGACTTTCTTACGTGTACATTTAAACTTGCATATCTTTCTCAGGATGAAGAAGTTAAGAGGAAGCTTGAAAAGCCTAAAGAAAAGAAGAAAAGGCCAGTTAATGAATTAAATATCAATGGCCTCCCTCCAGCCCTTGTGGAGATGATGGAAGATGCAGATGACAACAATTTTATGGGTGATATTGAAACTGGTGGACTTATGACTGCAGGAGATGATAGCATGGACCTTTTTACTGATGAAGATTCTCAGGGTGACAGTGAGGGCCTTGAAAAGGAGGATAAATCAACAACAAGAAGGAGTGAACAAGAAACTTTAGAAGCAGCAAGAGATACACTAAAACTAGGAACTATTAATGTTTTAACAAAGGAAAAAGTAATGAAAGACTTGTCAGCACAGAGAAGGAGACATTCTTCTATATCAAGTTTGTCTAGTATTCAGAGTTTGGGATCAACAAGATCAAGTTCTCTTCCTGGGTTTATGAGAACACTCACAAGGAAATATCAATCACCTGTCAAAAAGCGAACAGTAAGAAAAGCTGAAAATGATTCCGATATATCAAGTGCAGATCTTTTGGATGAGGAATTTTTATCTCAGGAATCAAGACAAACTATACAAATGTTTTCAAATGTGCAGTCAAGTTTTCTAGATCTATCTGAAAGACACATTGACTCTGCTTCAAAACGTGTCAGAATTGATTCATTACCTAATAGTCCAAATATATCACAATTAACACCGTCATTGTCACCACAGAAAAAGACCAGAGTGAAAAAGAAATTTGTATCAGGGTTTTAATACTTACTGATTTTAACATAATATATATATTTTAATGATATATTTGTAAGCAATCCAGTTTTTTTTTAATTATATAAATAAAATTTATCCTACTGAACTCATTCTTACTAAATCAATATTTATAGTGACAGATTTTCTTTATTTAGACCTTGATTTTTTATATTATTTTTCATGATAATATGCATACCAAAATTATTGATAAATAGGACTTTTCCATTCCTATTCTTTCCTTGCCTTGATGGCGGTAGTCTGTTGGCTCCTTAAGGAGTGCACATTTCTCAGTTGGTTGGATATGTGAGTGTTTGCAGTGAAATATCAGATTTCAATGAACCTATTATTTTAACTTGCTAAATAAAACTTTACAACAACGATGAAGAAAAGATGAATTAGTCAAAAGTATGACTAAATTTTATCATAGATATAGATATAGAGTTTGATTCCACAGGAATTTGATAAAAAAGTAAACTGCTTTGGTGGTTTCAAGGTAGCATGCTCTCCTCAATTTATGTCAAACCACAGACTTTGAGGTAGGGACTTAGCACTTCTCCAGTAAGCACACAACATTTATGAGAAAGACTTGTTTGCTCAGGGTCAGAATGATGTATTGGGGTAAGGTCACATGTCTACCTGTGGACTTAACCTTGTGAACTAATGCTTTAAAAAAATCTGGTTCAGAGTGTTAGTCTAATACAAAGCAGGGTTCAAATTCATAACACATTAACATATTTCAATACTGGTATGCACGTGATATTTGCCACTGGATGTTAAACACATACATCATCATCATCATCATCATAATACAAAGTGTTACATGAACATATATTTGGCATCAAGCTTTTTATGCTAATACTACTAAAGAAGATAACAAGTCCAGAAATTGTCCTTTAAATCTGTCTTATTGGCTATAAAGGTTACAATTATGCTACTGTTGTTTAATCACTGTCTGTATCAGTTTGCAAATTTATAGTTTGAAGTAATACTAGAGATTTTTTGTTGTTTTTCTATATATAAAATTAAGGAAATGTGTTATGATTGACGATGAGACAACTTTCTATTAAAGTCCACAGAACAAAGATGTGAGCTATTAAAGGTCACCAGATGACCTTCAACAATACTTAATATAGTAAGCTGTAAAAGGCTCCAGGATTACAAAATATAAAACTATTCAAAGGAGAAAACCAACAGCCTGTTTTATACTACAACAATAAACATAATGGTTGTTCTCTGTATTTCAAAAGGTCATGTATTCCTGTTCCGCTGGTACTTATGACTTTGCTGTCTGAAGTATGTCATGATTTCTTATCAGCAGGTTAAGTACTTTGAGCATGCTTTCAATAACTGCAAGCATTTTTCATACGATATGATATTGATTATTTTTATTGTGTATCCCTGTACTACCAGTATTTATCAACTACTATATGAACTACAGTAAAAGACAGTAGAGTGTAGGATGTCATGATTTCTTGTCACCAGGTTAAGTAGATAGAGCATGGTTTCAATAACTGCAAGCAATCTTCATAAGATATAAATTTGATTAATTTTTTAATCTTTTTTCTTTTATATATGAATTAAATTTATCTTACAAAAGTATTTGCAGGGTTCAAACTCACAACCTCCTGAGTTTTTCTGACATTTTCCTGTACTGATTATTATTATTGTATGTACTTTTATGTACATTTTGTTGGTCTATTGATCGATATTTAAAAATGATGCGGGTTTAGATCAATAAAAAACAAGTTCAACCCTTTTACATATTCATTTGCCTGTCCAAAAACAAAAACCTAATCAGTGGTTGTATTTTGGTGTATCTTAAAGGGGACATCTGTGACCTAATGATCTAAGTAGCCCAACAACCACTGTAATACTAGTCTGTTGACACTGAGGTTGTGAGTTTGAACCCTGCACGTAGAAGGTGCATTCAACTCCAATTTTAATTGACTAGAATTTTCAGTTTTCCTGCCAAAGGTCGTTGTTCTGTCCAAGCACTGAAGGCTTCCTCCAGCATTAAAAAGATACTGCCACAAAATAGCCAAAAGTGCTGTAAGTGGCTTTAAACAACAACCAATGATATCTTAAACGTTTTCTGTTAATTGAAGAATATGGTATTGATGGTTTTTAATTGACCGCAAAAAATTTTGCTGTCGAATATTGGTATGACGTTGTCGTCGTCGTCGTTGTCGTCCGAAGACATATTGGTTTTCGCACTCTTAACTTTAGTTTAAGTGAATGGATCTCTATGAAATTTAACCATAAGGTTCAATACCACAAAAGTAAGGTTGGGATTGATTTTGGGGGTTATGGTACCAACAGTTAAGGAATAAGGGGCCAAAAATAAGCATTTTTGTAACTTCCAGACATAACTTGTGTGTTAGTGTATGGATCTCTCTGACATTGTACCACAAGGTTCCATATAACAAAGGGAATGCTGGGATTGATTTTGGGGGTAATTGCCTCAAAATTTTAGGAATTAGGGGCCAAAAAAGGGGCAAAAAACAAGCATTTTTCTAGTTTCATGACAATAACTTGTGTGTAAGTGTATGGATCTTTCTGAAATTGTACTACAAGGTTCCATATCACAAAGGGAAAGCTGGAATTGAGTTTGGGGGTAATTGCCCAAAATGTTTAGGAATAAGGGGCCAAAAAGTGACCAAAAATAAGCATTTTTCTAGTTTCCAGACAATAACTTGTGTTCAAGTGTATGGATCTCTCTGAAATTGTACTGCAAGGTACCATACCACAAAGGGAAGGCTGGGATTGATTTTCGGGGGGTAATTGCCTCAAAATTTTAGGAATTAGGGGCAAAAAAACAAGCATTTTTCTAGTTTCAGGACAATAACGTGTGTGTAAGTGTATGGATCTTTATGAAATTGTACTACAAGGTTCCATATCACAAAGGGAAAGCTGGGTTTGAGTTTGGGGGTAATTGCCCTAAATGTTTAGGAATTTGGGGCCAAAAAGGGGCCAAAAACAAGCATTTTTCTAGTTTCCAGACAATAACTTGTGTTCAAGTGTATGGATCTCTCTGAAATTGTACTGCAAGGTACCATACCACAAAGGGAAGGCTGGGATTCATAAGGGGGTTCAAAAAATTTGGGGGGGATTTTTTTTTCCTTTTTTTTTTTTTTTTTTCTTTAAAATTTTCCATTTTAAATTGGTTATTTCTGATTTATATATAAAAGCAAATAATAATGATATGGTTTGAATAGGTAAATTAAGAATTTTTAAGTTCTTAGACCACATTCATTATGTGTCAGAAACCTATGCTGTGTCAAATATTTAATCACAATCCAAATCCAGTGCTGTATCAAGCTTGAATATTGTGTCCATACTTGCCCCAACTGTTCAGGGTTCGACCTCTGCGGTCGTATCAAGCTGCGCCCAGCGGAGCATTTTATTATTAATAGCAATTCTCTGTAACCACCAAGCTAGTTGTGGCACGCTAAGTCTCAGATTTTCTTGAAAGTTTGTTAGTTGATAGCTATCAGAAATATGGTGATGAAAAATTTGTATATGTTCCCATTGCCATGTTTATGGGTTCCTTTGGATTTTGGCTCAAAATTACAAATATTGATTTAGAAAAATGACCTACATCAAGCAGTTGTCATGCATGCATTTCAATTTTGATGAATATTGTAACATTTGTTTATTAAAATATAAAGTTTAATTGGTTAAAATAAAAGGTAAAATCAATAAAATAAAAAAGGGGGAAATATAAAGGAGTTTTATTGTATTCAAGAAGGCAAATTATAGGCATTTTGCATGGACTAATTACACACTTTTGTATCCCCATCGTTTGATAATGAGGTTATCAATGTACTATATCGCTCACGGATGCCAATGAAATATCTCCTAAACAGTGACAGATAGGGGTAAAGTTGGACCCAAAGGACAAAGTTTATCAATGATCTAGACCTTTTGTCTTTTTATTGGATTTTACCAGAAATGTTAAAAAAAAATTTCTTCAGATATTTCCATCAAATCATTACCTTTAGATTTTATTAAATGCTATTTAGCTTTCGTTTCGAAGTGTTTGTGAAGAATGTATAACACCGTACTTTAATTGTATTATTTATAGGATTCATTGCTGCTTCTGAGATGTTGCGTGGCATTGGAACGTTTAAACGCACCAAATTTAAACCGGAATTATTTCTATGTACATGTGTATATATGAAATTTCTTCTAAGCATTTTGACGGTCCTTTCGAAAATGGCAGCCAGCTGATCATGTGTGACACTGGGGATCAATTTGGAATGGCATATAATACCTATGTTACAATTTTCGTTGAAAATCCTAGCAAAACAAGATGATTCTCATATTTGCCATTTATATGGTGATTTTTTTATATAAAAGTTCAGTTTTTACAGCACATTAAACACCGCTTATCAAAAGGTTTATTGGGAAAACTGAAAGATAATGAATTCTTACAGATAGTGAACAAATTTGATATATTGTGTTTAAATGAATGTTGGGTAAAATGTCCGGAAGAATTCGACATATTGGGTAAAGGAAAAAGAATACATAGTCAGGGCAAAATGCAACGGGGAAGGTGTTATTGTGTTTTAAAAAAATGGTTAAACCCTTTTATTAAATTTGTAAAGAGCTGTGTTGATTGTATGATTTGGTTCAAAATTGATAAAACTATTTTGTGTGATAATTCTGATCAATATATATGCATCCGTATAAAAATGTGTACTATCGTAAATATGACATTGATGTATTTGATAACATGCAAGAACATATAGAACTTTTCAGTAACATCGGTAATGTGGTCGTTATAGGTGATGTATAAAGTCGCAGTCGTGTAGGTCAAGAACCCGACACCATAACAGGTGATGTTATAGACAAACAATTACAAGACAACATTTCATTCATTAATGTTGCGTGGAAGAATTGAATAAACGTTTGAAAGATATTTTTGAACAATATACAAAGTCAGAAGTAAAATACAAAGTACAATGTGACTCCTGCCTTACAAGTAGTAAAACACGTGTCCAAAAAGACGATAAACCATGGTTTACAGACGAATGTAAAAGTTTATATAGAGACTATCAACGAGCTATGGTGAATTTTAACAGATACCGGTCGAGTGAAAATAGA